CAGTGTGAGTAAAGGCTCAGAAGTTGGAAACAGTCCCCATACCTGGATGGGACTAGCAGCTCAGTCCCATTTTGTTTGTTTATAGACAGCTTATTGATAGTTGTGGTGGTTGTCATTCTAGCACATTTGTTAAGTTTTCAAATGGGCCTGACTCTGCCACATATATTACATAGGAGCTGGCAAAGGCTGGATGCCAAAGAAATCTTTCTCTAGCTTTTCCCACATCAGAAATTGGCTCCCACAGGTGGCAGGATTGCTCATAAGTTTAAGTCCTTACAGACAGACAGACTGACACAGGCCTGTCTGACCTGAGGAGAATTTGTGCTGAGGGGTATTTCTTTTACCCCGATGATGTATTTGCTACTTCTCAGGCATGACCTCTCTGGGTCCTGTACAAAATATTGCTACCAATCTCTTCTTCCCCCGCCCCCCCAGCTCATTCCTGTGCCACTCGGTCGCTGCAGTACTGATGACATTAAAGATGCCTTCATTACCCAGGCGCAGGAGCAGCAGATAGAGCTGCTGGAAATCCCGGAGCACTCTGACATCAAGCAGGTAAAACAGGAGGGAGGGTGATGTTGAGGGAGAAGGCAAGACCTGGTTTCTGACATTTTGTGTTTGAGGTACTAGGAAGGCATTCCAAAAAATGTTAAGTACAGGTAGCCGTTTGAAACGAGAGTGGGGCATTGTTTGGATTGGGAATGGATATGGTCTGAGAGCTGTGCCTTAGTGCTTCCCTGGGAGTAGCAAAACATTTCTTAAGGGAGGAACTTAGAAAGATGGGGGTCACTGGGAGAATCTTTGTAGTATCTGCCATTATGGCATTTTAGACTTTAGTTCCAGTGAGCAGCTTGAGACCTGTAGATGCTCATATCCTTTTTCTTGTGTTTCTGGACTCAATTCTTTGCTAAATTCAAGCTTATAAGAGATGCGCTGGGAATTTAGGGTTGAGAGCGCTATTGAGTCCTCATGCCGCTCTGCTTACTTTTTAGATTGCACAGCCTGGAGCAGCGTATTTTTATGTTGAACTTGACACAGGAGAGAAGCTTTTCCACAAAATTAAAAAGAATTTTCCTTTGCAGTTTGGAAGGTTTGTACACATATAGATGTGTGTAAATGTGTATGTGTGTGTATGTGTATTTTTTAATGTATTTTCAGTGGATCCACTATGAACGAATTAGTGGGTGGCAAGGACGGGGGATTAAAAGGTCAAATAAGAAAAAGTCCCTGTCTCAAGGACCTGGTAATCTTAAGGCAATTTAGATATTTACATATATGACAGTAATTTAATGTAGAATGTAAAACTTACCATAACTGTTTTGAGGACCAGTGTACTTTAGAAAATCAGAAAAGGAAGAACTTGTTTTTACTTGCTCAAAGGCTTCATGAAAGGTTGAAATTGGGTCTTTAAGAGGTAGATTTGCAAGACAGACTTTGGGGTGGTGGTCTAACCTGAGGGAGTAAAGTGTTACCATTAATTGAACATATATTCTTACCAAGAGTATGCCAGGAACTTAACATGCATTGCCTCATTTTATCTTCTTTAAAGTAGGTACTATTACCCCACCTACCAGTATGGAGAATGAAACTCTAGAATTGTATCCAGTGGCACTTGCTGTGATGGGAAGCCTCTGTAATTGCTACTGTCCTGTGCAGCAGTCACTAGTCATGTGAGACTCTAGCAGTTGAATTTTTAATTTAATGTTAATTAGGATTCACAGTTACGTAGCTGTAGCTAATGGTGGCTCCTGTGGCAGACTGCATGGCTCTAGAGGGGCCAGGAGCTTGTCTGGTCACACAGTGGCAGGTTCAGCTGTGGAGCCCCAAAACTTAAGTTCTTAACCTTATTATTCTATAATGTCTTAAAGGCCTGAATGAAAATTCATTCCTGCTGTTCCTATCAAGAATATGAAACACCAGACAAGGAGTGGCATAAAGAAGGCAAAGATTAAAGACCAGAAGTTGGTGAAAAGAGAAAAAGAATATAGAGGGGAGGAGAAAGGGTCCAGAATAGGTTATCTGATGCTGGTGTCTGTGATTTGCAGCTGTTTTTTTTTTTTTCCCCCCTTAGTTAGAACTGAGCTTTCAGGCAACCTTGAATCTTGCACTCATTTGGAAAGCTTCCAAAAATTACCATCATTGGATACATCTGGTCAATGCAGTTGTCTGCATTTTCAAATTGACAATTGATAAACGAGAATAAATACTTTAAGAGCTTCACATCGGACATCATTTTGTTGTTGTTGCCGTCACAAGAGATGCAGATGTGGACCCTGATATAGGCATCTGGTTACAGACATAAGAGTGCATAAGCCACAGAAGAGATTCTTTGGATGACTTTGTGCTCATGATATAGTTCGTTGTTTATTCAACACTGAGTATTTTCCAAAATACTAACTTACTGTTACTTAACATTTTATTATTAACAAGATAGTTCGAAAGACATTTTTTCCCTGCTCTACAACAAAGGTGATTCTATCTTCATTTTATGGGTGAGGAGGAAGACACAAGTTTCTTCCAGGAAGCTTAAACTTGAGTTCAGGTCCTTTGACTTTAGAAGACTCATGATTTTCCTTTCCTTTTTTAACGTATGATGTATAGTCAACGCTTCCATTTATCATACCTTCATAATAGAAAATGAGCTATGTGGATATGTAAATAAAGTTATTTCCATTCTATCATTATCAGTAAAAATAAATGTAAAGCAGTGGCAATTAGAAGGTAGCTTGAGTGTGCGCCTGCCATGCACATAGTTATACTCGAGTCTTGAGAGCCAAGATAAGTTGTTTGCTGTTGAGCTTGTGCTGTTGTGCCTGTGTGTGCCCAAGTCCCCTACGAGGAGAGTGAGGAGTTTTAAGCCAGAGGGGCTATGACATAAGCACCTAACTCTGAGCCATACTTTCAGCAAATTCATGGTCTAGTTGGGATGACACACTGAAGTTTATAGCAGGATGTAAGTGCAGCAAGTTTGGTGCTTTGATTGTGTTTTCTCTGGGCCTCAAAAAATAAAATCCTCTCAATTTGTATATCATTGGTGAAGAAGTCAAGACCGAAAGTTGAAGTAATCTGTTCATGTCATAGATAGCAAGTGGCGGTGCTGGAGATGAAATCCAGCCTCTGCCCTTTCGGACACCAGGGCCTGCCCTCTGATACTAATATAGTTCCAGGTTGTTCAAAAGAGAAATGAGTGGAATGTGAAGATTTAGGAAAGAGGTATAGGACCTGAGCTGGTCACTAAAAATGTGTGTGCACGTTATAGAATGGCAGTGATGACACTAGGGTGTGAGGAAATTGTATGAGCAAAAATCAGAGAAATTTGCCTGTTTTTGTGAGGTGATGCTGAGGTGAGGGCTGTGACTGAAGAGAAATGGGAGAGGGGATTCAGGCTGCTACTCTCCATTTTGACTTCCTTGTGGTTTTTTTGCAGGGAGGTCCTAGCCAGTGAGGCCATCCTGAATATTCCTGACAAGTCTGACTGGAGGCAGTGTCAGATCAGCAAGGAAGAGGAGGAGACTCTGGCTCGTCGTTTTCGGAAAGATTTTGAGCCCTTTGACTTCACCCTGGATGATTAAGCAAAGGGAAAAAGCACTTTATGAACTTCATAGGAAGTAGCAATCTGTGTTGTTTTTTTTTTAAAGAAAACTACAGTCTCCCATGGGGACTGTTTCCCTGCCTCTTTTTGGTGCATTCCCGTGGAACCTGCCTGATGTGAGAGGCTTAAAATGGAATATTTTGGAAAAGTCACATTCTAGGATGAAAATCCTATTTTAAAAGCTACAAATCATTCAGCTACCAATATAGCTCAATTTTGTCAACATTTTCAGAAACATTTAAATTATCAAATAAAACCCAGATGCTTTTCTATGGCTGGAAAGTGTTGTTTCATGTTACTTATAACCACTGAAGTGAAGTATAGTTGACCCTTAAAAATAGGAGTTTGATGTGTAGGTCTACATTGAAATACTTTTTTTGAGATTTCTAACAATTCAAAAAAAACCCAAAATCACGAATGGACTTCATAGCCTAGAAGTATTGGAAAAGTTAAGAGAAAGAAATATTATGAATGCCTAACATATATGTAAATTGTCTTTTATTATCTACTATGAAATATATACAGATTTTATGAAAAATTAAAATTTATCAAAACTTCCACATAAGCAAACTGAATGTGGTGCCATTCACAGTTGAGAGAAATGTAAACAAATGTTAGATTTAGTGGCAAGTCACAACTACATAAAAGTAACTGTAGTGTATGCAATAATTTCATGGCCATGTCCTGTTGCTATTGTGAGTTTTAAGTGTGGTCAATATTACGTATAATCACGGTCCAACCATGCCCAGTGTACTAATTGGAATCCCAAATACTGAGGTGACAGGTTGGGCTACACATGACTTCCAAGAGCACACATGACTCGTTAGTACAGCAGCACATCCTTGAGTTGTTGTGTGTAGGGGGGGTACTTGGGGGCAGATGCAGAGGGTATGGAACAGGAGGTGTATGAGAAGTTAAGCAAAGAACAGCTGAAGACGAATCGTTTATGGAAGATTAATTTTTTTAAATGTGAAGTATGAAGGCTAGTACATTAGCAGACCTGTTAGCACAGGATTCTTTCAGGTCTCACAGGTCCGCAGTATTTAAATCATTGGTGGTCTTTGCCAGTTCTGGGGCAGTGGCAGTGGGGGCTGCAGGAAATGGCAAGGTCTTGACGAAAGGCCAGTAGGGGAGACTGGCTTGGAAAGTGATGGGAAGCAATGTAGGGTTTAGAAAGAGCTTTTTCACGACTGGGGAAACACAGCTAGAAAATGTCCAGGGAACGTAAAACAGCGGACAGAGGGCTCCACTTTTCCCCCCCGCAATCCCCCCACTTCTGCAGGCCGAGCCACGCATCCTGGAGAGAACTCGGGGCGGGGCTGTGGGGGGACAATAGACACCCTCGCTCCACCAATGCGGAAGTGACGTGCCATCTCGCGAGAAGACAGTTGCGCGAGCCTCGGCGGCCCGGAACCGGCCTCGGAGCGTTGGCGGAACCTGCGGCCGCCTGCCCTCCCGCCCCATGGAGCGGCCCCCGGGGCTGCGGCCGGGCGCGGGCGGGCCCTGGGAGATGCGGGAGCGGCTGGGCACCGGCGGCTTCGGGAACGTCTGCCTGTACCAGCACCGGGTGAGGCGGGGCGCGAGGGAGCGCGGTGGGTGCTTGTCAGTGGCGGTGGAACTGTGACTGTCAGTACGTGAGATCGTCGGTGAGACCTGGGGCTTTCGTGTGGCCAGCGAGTGCCCGTGTGTGTGCTTGTGTGCGGGAGAGGGAGCGAGGAGAGGGCCTCGTGAGCCCGATCACCTAGTCTTGGTTGTATCTGAGCTCTTCGGTCCGTGTGTGTGGTTATAGAACTGTTAGGGGAACTTTTGGTATGAGTGTCAAGCTATGACAGGTTGTTTACTGAGTGTGACAGCGCCTGTGTCTCTGAATGTAGAGGAGTGTCAGGGCGTGTGAGACAGACATCGCGGGGTGTACGTGTGAATAGAAATGCGTGAGCAAAGGGGGCTGATGAGGAGGGCTGTCTGTTGGGAAGAGAGAGAGTGTGTGTGTGTGGAGGACATATGATGCCTGTAGGGGCTGGGCAACGTGGGATTTCATGGTGGTGTAACGTTAAGCTTTGGAAGCATTGGGTAGGCTTTGGAATTGGGGATGCCTGATATTTAGGGAACAGTATGATGTTAAGTTGGTGAAAATGATCAGACTTCAGAAAGGAAGGGCATGGACTGGAGCTAAGGTTTTCTGGGGGTGAAAGACAGCTGACATCAGATGTGGGAATTTTACTTTAATTTAATAGGAAATGTTTAACCTCTGTAGCAGGAGTTAATAATTATGTTTGAGTTGAGCTTGAGGCATTTTACCAATAAAAGCTATAAAACCTTTTGCAGAAAAAAAATGCATAAATGCACATCCACAAATCCATATGCATTGCCACTTGAGGGAGTTTATGCACTTGGAAAGACATTCTTAGATATGTAGACCGTGGACTATTATTAATCCCTGCAGTATAACCTTTGTTTTCTTACCTCTTAAATGTGTATAATAATGTACAAATGTTGTGGGTCTGTTTGAGAGTTAAATATAGTACCCGGCCCATGTAAACTGTGAAATACTAACTCCTGCTCCTGTGTTATTCTTGCTATTATCATTCTTAAATAGGTAAATATCAAAATGCAGTGGTGTTCAAGATTATTTTATAAAAGATAAATCTAAGAGAAAAACATGAGACAGGAGGAGGAGTTAAGATATTACTAAAATGTCTGCAGCTTGACCTATGAATGGAGAAGTGATTCAAGAGGAGAAATTATGATTTGCTGTCTTAAGGAATATGAATGCAAGGGGAAAGCCCAGATTGCAGGATGGGAGATGAAATTTACGTGGTGACAGGAATAAGGATGCTTGTGGGCAGTTAGAAGGACAGATATCACTGATAGAACTGATGAAATTTTGTGAAGCACATTTCATAGGAAATTTGAGGGGGGGAGGCGAGAGGATGGAAGGCGAAAAGGATAAAGCATTAAATACTTTCATAGTCAAACAGTAAATTTAATAATTCTTTTCATCAGAGGGGAAATAAAGTACTCAAAGAGAAAAGAGAGAGACTCAATGTTTCCAGTGGAATATTGATTCTATAGCCATGCTAACCAGGCCTATGCATCAGCCTGGTCTTAAAAAAATACATGTACATGCTGGCATGCTATCGTGGCTGCTTTTCTTGTTCCCTGGCTTGGGGTTGGGTGAATATGTCATTTTTTAAACTGTGATAAAGTATTCATAACTTAAAACTTATCATTTCGTCACTGTACAGTTCAGTTGCATTCAGTTGTACAACCATCACCAACATCCATCTTCACAACTTTTCAGTCTTCCCAAACAGAAACTCTGACCCCATTCAACAATACTTTTTCCTGTTTCTTCCTCCCTCACTGCCTGACAACCACCTTTTCTACTTTCTGATTCTGTGGCAGTCGTCATTTCTTAAGTGGAAGGCATTTGGCTCCTTTTAGAATCTTAATCTCAGGAAAGCCTCCCTGGTGGTGCAGGGGTTAAGTCTAGCTTAATTGCTCTAGAATTAACCCTTGCCAGACGCTGTGGCCTGAATTGGCCGAGTTCGCTAGACTGAGTTTGATCCCTGGCCAGGGAGCTGACCCACATGGCACAGCAGACCTCTTCTGTTTTGCCTTCTGCTCCCTTCAGCAGTGTATTTCAGTCCATCCGCCTGTTCTGCACCCTACACTGTCTCTAGTGAATCCTCACATAACCCTCTCCCTTGTACTTCTTGTGTGCATACATAAGTAAAATAAATATTGTTTAAGGAGTTAAATGATCTTTTAGGATGGGATCTTTTTAAATACATAGTTTCCTGTCTCATTCATATGAAAATTTTAGACTTTATGTTGTTCTGCTTACACCAGACTGTCTGATGAATTCAAATGACACTTAGCTACAGAAAGGCACATGCTCAGAACAGAAGAAAGATTGATGGGAGAGAAGACTATAGTTAGGCTAGATTGTAGTCTGTCTTAGTTCTTTTCTTCTCTGTGTATACATTGACTATCCTATCTGTCGAATCTCTTCCATGTCCCTCTCCCGCGCGCCGCGCACACACACACACACACACACACTTTCAGGCTATCCCATCCATGTCTTCCTTCCTCTGTATTTTTTTCCCCTCCTTTTTGGTCCTATGCCTCACTTAGTGATGCCTTTGTGTGATGAGACCTGGCTATTTCCTGTAACGTGCATCTGGTTGGTTTTCATTTTAGTCAGAATTGACTAAATCATTAGTCAAAGGCAGGAGTGGACAGGTTCATTTTATAATATGGAAACAGAAGTATAATCATCATAGGATTTCTTTATATGTCATTTGAACTGTAAAAATTAGGTACTAATTCTGGAGTTTTTATATTAGGCTTTAGGAAATATTAAAACTGTTTCTTGCTGTTGAGGCTAGGAAGTTCTGAATTATCCTCTTCATTCTCTTTAGTCTGGAGGCTTGTTAATTGTCTTGACTAACTTTGAAAAGAGATTGGAGAGAGAAGGTTCTTTGTTTTTCTCTTTCTAGTAATATATTGTGAGACTGTACTGAACAAACCTGATACAGGATCAGCCAGTCACTTTTGATTGTGTGTCTGAAAGTTTTAAAACATTGCTTGTGTAGCTCGTAATTTACCTAGCAAAAGTGTTGACTCAGGAGGACTATGGGTAAACATTTAGTTAGTAGAGCTAAAGAGTTTTGTTTTACCAGATTGACATTTCTTTGATAACAATATGCATAAGAGCCTACTATATTTTTTGCTTATTTTCCATGTTGGCAGGAACTTGATGTCAAAATAGCAATTAAATCATGTCGACTAGAGCTGAGTACCAAAAACAGAGAGCGATGGTGCCATGAAATCCAGATCATGAAGAAGTAAGTGTACATGATATTTTCTCAGTTTTGCAGCTTCCCTAGATGTCATTATAGGGAGCAGTGCCAGGAATTTGCCCTTCTCAGATCTTTTTGAGTATTTTTCCCCCTCTCTCTCATTAAGTATGTATGTTCTGTTTCAAATAGCATCACATTACGAATGTTATGAAGAATTAGGTTTTGGCTCTCTCTGGTGGTGCAACGGGTTAGGACACGGCACTGCAAGCTAGTACGAGTTCAATCCCCTCTTCGGTACGAGTTCAATCCCTGCCCTGGAGGTGGCCCATGTGGCGCTGCAGACCTCTCCTGTCTCGCCCACTGTCTCTGGTGAATCCTCACGGCCCGGCCCCTGCACCTCTGGACCTCTGGCCTGTACCCCAGGTCTACTGTATGCATAAATAAATAAATCTTTAAAAAAAAAAAGAATTAGTTTAAAAAGTTAACTAGAAATTATACTGTCTTCAAGGGCAGAATCCGTCTCTTCTGGACCTTGGGCAATACTATTTGCTATACTTTCTAGTTAAGTAACAATCACTACACCTATTTCTTTATTCTTACTGCTTTTGTTGAATAGTTTACTTATTCTTTTGGCCAGTTTTACCCCCAAATTAGTGGTTTAATACAGCAAATACTTACCATCTCACAGTTTCTGTGACTTAGGAATTTGGGAGTGACTTAGTTGGGTGCTTCTGGCTCAGATTTCTCCTGAAACATCTTAAAATGTTGACTGGAGTAATAATGATCCAAAGGTGTGACTGGAGCTGGAATATTTCCTTCCAAGTTCTTTTATATGCTTTTGCCAGCAGCATCAGTTCCTCAGCATGTGGGCCTCCCACAGGGATGCTTGCATGCCTTCATGACAGGGCAACTCAGGCTCCCCAAAGTGAGGGAGCTGAGACAGAAGCAAGAAGCCTGTCTGTTAGGATCTTTGCCTGGAATTATTTCATCATTTCTATTTGTTTGAAATGGGTTACTAAGAACAGCCGTCTAAAGGGGAGAAGTAAATTCTTGAGGGTGAAGCAGGCATATCTTTAAAACTGCAAAAGTAATCTATTCAGTGCTTTATAAATCTGCTAGTTGTCACAAAAACTGTATAATTAGGTATTAACCTTGTTTACAGTAATGAAGTTCATAGTCATACAACTGGTAGACAGTAGAGTCTGGATGTAAAATTCTGACTCCAGGGTCTGCACCCAAACTTGGTAATAGGTGGCCAGCATCAGGAAAGCTTGTTAATAGTGCTCTGTCTGAGATTGTTTCTTTAGGTTCCTGGGCCTGTGAATCTCTTTTAGGTTTGACATCTATTGTCTGATGATGGTTGTGGTGGTGATGGTGGCAGTGGCGGCAGCTGGGATGATAGATTGTTAAGTTAATAAAAGCATGTCAGAAAACAGATGTATTGTGGTTCAGAATTCATAGAAGAAAATTTATTTGTGCACAGATTAAAAGCTGAAAGGAAATATGAAAATTTTAATAGACTTTACCTCTGAGTGACATTGTGATTATAGGAGAGGTCATCTTAGATAGGCTTTGGAACCAGATGGGCACATTGTATCCGTACTTGATCATCTATACACTGTGATTTATGTTACTTAACCAGTGTGTGCTTCAGTTTTCTCTTGTGTAATTAAGTTCTACTTATTGTAGAATTACTGTGACAAGTCAATGAGTTAATGCATGCAAAGTGCTTACTGCTTGCCACATAGAAATGCGATAGTAGTAATGGTATTTTTAATCTATATTTCCTTAAAAAATTATTTTTAATTACACAAATGACAAATTTATAAATAATGCCAAATAATGCCAAATATATATATTTTCTTTCCCCTCAGTTCCCTTTAATTACTCACCATTTCAAACCTTGTCCCTTTTGACTAGAAAGCAATTTTTATTTTATTATTTTTATTTTTTATTGTAGTAATGTTGGTTTACACCATTGTTAGTATTAACCATTGTTAGTATTTGAGAAACGTGGGCTTCCTACCTTCAAGTGCTGTTATCATAGTGGACCCCTCGCCAACGCTCCCATAGTCCACCACCATAGTCCACTCATTGAAAAGCAGTTTTTAATTAGAATGTTTTCCCTTCCTTTTTTAGGTTGAACCATGAGAATGTTGTAAAGGCCTGCGATGTTCCTGAGGAATTGAATTTTTTAATTAATGATGTGCCTCTTCTAGCAATGGAATACTGTTCCGGAGGAGATCTCCGGAAGGTATGTGAATATTTTGAGATGATGAGAGCAAATAGTGAACAGTTCTTTAGCAGTGCCTGAAGAACTTTAAATATGATAATTAAGAATAAGGACTGTGACCTGTTACCATTTTTTTTTTTTTGTAAATAAAATTTTATTGGAACATAACCAGGCTTTTTCTTTATATATTGTTTATGGCTACTTCATACTACTGTGACAGAGGTGAATAGCTGGGACGGGCCAAAGTGTTTGCCATTGTACCTTTTACAGGAAATGTTTATTGATCACATATGTTTATTGATTTAGAACAGTAACATTTTTTTGTTACTGTTTTTTACAGGATGGGATTATATTGATGTTAGATCAAGATATCCATGTTGAAGGTGTTTAGAAAAAAGTTGTTTTCTCCACTGCAAATCTTTCAAGTCTTATTTTAAATCCATCATATAGAATTGTTTGCATTTTGGGTTTTTTGTTTTTATTTTTTTCCAACTTCAAATATTTTACTTTAATTACATAAACCTTGTCATGATATTTCTGTCCTCAGTATGGATTTGGTGATTTTTTTTCCCTTATATTTTTGTAGTCACAACTTACTTTGTTGTCTAAATAATCTTATATAGCACTGAAAATGTTGTTATTATTGCCGTGTAATATTGGCAGTATACATTTTTTTAGACTTCTTTTATTTCTTTAGCTACTGAACAAACCAGAAAATTGCTGTGGACTTAAAGAAAGCCAGATTCTTTCTTTACTGAGTGATATAGGTATGTAGTCAATATAAAAATACTATCATAATGTAATACCTCTGGGCTGCTTTGGTGGCTAGGGGTTAAGTCTCAGGGTTAAGAACTGCTATGGCCTGAGTTTGAGCCCTGGCCAGGGAGCTATGGTGCAACAAACCTCTCCTGTCTCACTTGCTGCTCCCCTTAGCAGTGCATTTCAGTGGATCTGTCTGTTCTGCTCCCCACTGTCGCTGGTGAATCCTCTCACCCCCTGCACCTCTAGTCTATACCCCAATACTCTATGCAATAATAATAATATTAATAATTTAATGCCCCTTTGGTAATATAAAAATTCTGCATTCTATTATTTGGGAGTTAAGGAAAATTGTTGATATGTGTATGTGTGTGTGCGCGTGCACATATATATATACACACACACACAAAGCATAAAATTTTAGTATCTATATGAAATTAGTAAAATTTAACTTTTACTGTGATGTCAAATTAAAACTAAGATGTTTTGTAATTTATTTATTTTTGACTAGGAGTCCATTTTCGGTTAATAGATGAATTAATTGCTAATGAAAGATGTGAAATGACCTTTTAATTTTAGTCCTCCTCCCTAATTAACCTTACTTACCGATATCACTGTCTCTTTGGCATGGGTTTTCAGGTCAACTTACAGGGTGAAACATCACTTTATAGTCAAATTACACCTGAAAAATCCCTAAAATAACTAGTACTTAAGCCTTTGAAGGAAGCTTGAAGACCAAGAATATGTTTATGCATTTTAGTTTTGCTGTCTTTCTTGGGTTCATAGTATCCAAAGTCTAACTGAAGGAGGTGATGTAGGTTGGAGGGGAAGGCTGCAAGTGTAAATATATGCTTGCTCATTTCTATTTAATGTTCTTTTCAATGTTAATTTTTATAAGTTTAATGAACATATATTATAATCCTGTAGTATTTGCCTTAATGTCACTGGATTTTCTGTGAAGAAAATCTCAACTGCCGTAGTATCATTTATTCCTTAGTTGTAGAGGCCATATGAATTTGAGCAAGAGAGCAGATCTGTACAAAATGTGAAATGAAGTATTTTTTACTTGATTTAGTGTTTTCTGTTACTTCAAAATGCATCTTAAACTTTTAGGGTCTGGGATCCGATATTTGCATGAAAACAAAATTATACATCGTGATCTGAAACCCGAAAACATAGTTCTTCAGGATGTTGGTGGAAAGGTAGGTGGAACCTAAAGAAATGACCCATGCCTGTTGATGACAGTCTCCCGGATGTAGCTAGTCTTTGAGGCTTGGTGGCTTTCCTCTATACCCCTAACATTTTGTTCCTTTTCTATCCCAACCCTTACTACACTGATCTGTACTTATGTGTTTAGTTATTCTTCCCTGCTAGTGAAGTAGCTCCATCAGAAAAGAACTATTTGCTTACCTCTGGTTTTCCAGCATAGTTCTACTAGAGGTAATAGGCAGTGAGTAAATAATTTGTTAATCTTAAGAAGCACATCCAAAAACACACACATTCTACATCTGCTTTCCTTAAAGGTAAAAAACAAACAAACAAAAAAACCCAACTAATTTAAGATTAAAAAAAAAAAAAAGCCCAACTAATTATTCTCTCACAAAGTCCCAAGTTCTGTAATTAAATTAAAATCGAAGTTTGAGGGGGCGGGGGTGGGAAACCAGAAATTGTTAATTGACTCCTAAGATATTTATTTTTATCAGAATAATTTGAGTAGTTTATGTGCTTCTCTGGCCAAATCCTGTATAGTGCCAAGAGTCTGAACCTGAGTTCTTTAGTTAGTGAGATGTTGGTCAGTGGAGGTGATAACACCAAGCTGATGCTTTTTCTCTTCAAGCCTGTCCTTTGTACTCTGCACATCTTTGTCTTGTGCATCCAAAGACTTCAGAATACTATTGAAGTTAGACAGGTGTTTGCTAACATCAGTCTATCCTAAGATGATAGAATGTTGTTTCATTGTTTCACTATTTCATTGAATCCTAATGACAGTTCTGTGGAGTAGGGATTGTTAGTAATACCATATATACATGACTAGTAAAGTGGTGGAGATCAGACTTAGAACACATTTGTGCTGTTATAAACCGAAGCTCTACTACAGCCTTCTCTAGGGCCTGTTAAGGTCACAGTTGCTTTTCCCTTTTCAAATTTGCCGACAGTTTAACATTATTTTACAGATTATGCATAAAATAATTGATCTGGGATATGCAAAAGATGTTGATCAGGGAAGTCTGTGCACATCTTTTGTGGGGACATTACAGTATCTGGTAAGACTTGGTTTTTGTTTTTTTCATTGTTTTAATTTAGTTTTTTATTATCTTACACTGTTGTTCATTTTTGTAAAATATTTGATTTCTCCCCTAGGTGTAATCTCCCTAAATCTGCCACTACAATAGCACCCTGTGAACCATCATCATAGTTCCTTGTGCTCTTCCCGCCCCTATTTTGACCTCTCTCCCTCCCCCTTCCCTGCTTCATGTCTTGGATCTGTAATTTGCCTGCTAGCGTTGTCTTTTTTTTTTTTTTTTTTACTCTTTGTTCAGTTTTCCTATAGTCCTCCTGTAAGTAACATTCTCGATATTTTTCTTTTTCTTCTGATTTATTTCACTGAACATAATCCTTTCCAGCTCCATCGTTCTTGTTGCAAATGGAATGACTACCTTTTTTGATTGCTGAGTAGTATTCCATATCTTCTTGATCTGTTATATTTTGGGACATTTAGGTTATTTCCATATCTTAGCTATTGTAAATGGTGCTACAGTAAACCCAGCAGTGCTGGTTTCCTTTCAAATTAATGTTTTTGTACCCTTTGGGTAGATTCCTTGGAGTGGCATTGCTGGGTCATATGGTAGCACCAATTTTGTAATTTGAGGAATCTCCACATATCTTTGCATAGTGGTTGGGCTAGTTTGCCTTTTCACTAGCAGTATAAGGGTCCTTTTTTCTCCACATCCTCTGTTAGCATTTGTTGTTACCAGTCTTTTTGATACAGGCCATTCTCACCAATATGAAGTGGTATGTGTTTGTGGTTTTGATTTGCATTCCTCTGATTATAAGGGATGTTGAGCATTTTTCAAATACTTTTTTTTTTAAAGATTTATTTATTCATGTGGAACTGGGGTACAGGCCAGAGATGTGGAAGGTGAGAGGATTCATCAGAGACAGAGAGGGGAGCAGAACAGGCAGATCAATGAAGTACACTGCTGAGGGGAGCAGCGGGCGGGTCAGGAGAGGTCTGCCTCGCCATGTGGGTCTCCTCCGGGGCAGGTGGGGATCGAACTCATGCAGAAGTGGCTTTAGCTTCTCAGTGCTGTGCTTTAACCCGCTGTGCCACCAGGGAGGGCCCCTTTTCAAATACTTTTTGACTATTTTAATTTCCTCTTTGGAGAAGCGTCTTTTTAGGTTTTTTGTTTTTGTTTTTTTTTTTTTGCCCATTTTTTGACTGAATTGTTTGTTTCTATTGAGCTCTTTGTAGATCTTTGATATCAGTCCCTTCTCAGTTGTATGGAATGCAATTCTTTTCTCCCAGTCAGTAAGATGTCTCTTTGTTTTGGTTATTGTCTCTTTTACTGTATAGATTTTTAGTTTGCTATAGTCACAGCTGTCTTTCTTTTCCTCCATTTATTTTTTTTTTTTACTTCTGGAGATAAGTCCTCAAAGATGTTTCTAAGGTGTATGTCATGGAGTGTCTTGCATGTGTTTTTTCCTATGGTTTCAGATCTTTTGTTCAAATCTTTCATCCATTTTGAGTTGGTTTTTGTGTATGGTGTGAGATAGTAGTCTAGTTTTATTCTTTTGTATGTAGTACTCCATTTTTCCCAGCATCAGTTATTGAAGGAATTATCCTTGTTCCATTGTATATACTTTGCTCCTTTGTCATAGATTAGTTGACCATACATGTATGACTTTATTTATGGGTTTTCAATTTAATTCCATTGGTCTGTGTTTCTTTTTTTTTTCCTTTGGTTCCAGTACCATTCTGTTTTAATTATTATGGCTTTATTGAATAGTTTGAAGTCTAGCGTGTAGTAACTCCATTCTCCCTCATTTTAGTCAGGAGTGCTTTGACTATTCAAGAGTTTTTGTGATTATTGCTCTAGCTGGGTCTTATAGTATTATATTGAAAAGCAGTGGTGAGAGTGCCTGTCCTTGTCTTATTCCAGATCTTAAAGGGAAAGATTTCAGTTTTCTAGTATTGAAAATGATATCGGTTGTGTGTTTGTTGTATATGGCTTAAGATATTGTTACTTCTATCCTAGGAATTTCGAGAACCTTCATAAAAATAAATGGACGCTGAACTTCGTCAAATGCTTTCTCAGCATCTGTTAATAGAATCATATGATTTTTCTTTTTGTCAGTGTGTTGGATTGCAGTAATTGATTTTCATAAGTGTATTTTTTTAATTGAAGTTACATTGGTTTAACAATACTGTAAATATTGTTTCTTTGAATTTAAGTGAATCAACTTCATTCTTAATTCTAAGTCATCAGTAATACAAAAATAAGGTACTTTTGGTATTATTATGTTGGCATCTAAAGCATTTTTCTTTTTAAGGCCCCAGAGCTCTTTGAGAATAAGCCTTACACAGCCACTGTTGATTATTGGAGCTTTGGGACCATGGTGTTTGAATGTATTGCTGGATATAGGCCTTTTTTGCATCATCTGCAGCCATTTACATGGTAAGAAATAGAAGAGAACTTTGGTGTGCTCGATGGAAATGGAGATTTTCAATTTTTTTTTCCCTTTCTCTATACATGGTATAATGCCTTTCAACATGTAACTTAATACAATAAAATGGAAAAAAAAAAGATCTTAATGAGTTGATGAGAATCAGGTTGTCAACTAAGGCAGCTTTTTTTTTTTTTAAATAGGCATGAGAAGATTAAGAAGAAGGATCCAAAGTGTATATTTGTAGGTGAAGAGATGACAGGAGAAGTTCGGTTTAGTAGCCACTTACCTCAACCAAATAGCCTTTGTGGGTAAGTGCATTTTAGTAGAGGAAGTTCTTCAGAGCTTAAAAAAGAACAGCAGAGTAGTTGTATTTTTCAAATAGCATTATGCAGTAGAATTTTCTGTGTTGATGGAAGCATTTTATTTCTTTGCTGGTCACCTGAGGCTTTTGAACACAGGGATAAGTACTATCACTGAAAAATGAATTTTAAATTTTATTTAATTTTAACTAACTTAAATGTAAGTGCCAGTAGTCACTTGTATCTGGTGACTACCATATTGGACAGCACAGATTTAGTGGAAACCAGAACTACTGTCATTTAACTGCCATGTTAGGTGCCAGGAAAACTCTTGGGATGGGGAGTTAGTGAGTTTCTTTGGTGAATGGAACTGGACTCTCCTGTTGGAGTCACCAGTAACTAGCTTATATGTATGGGTTTGTTGTGTTTATTATTATTATTTATTATTATTATTGTTTTTTAAAGATTTATTTATTTGTGGATACAGAAATGGGGTATAGGCCAGAGGCCCAGGGGCAGTGAGAGGCTTCACCAGAGACAGAGTGAGGAGCAGAACAGGCAGATCGAAGTACACTGCTGAGGGGAGCAGCGGGCGGGTCAGGAGAGGTCTGCAGCGCCATGTGGTCACCTCCGGGTCAGGCGGGGATCGAACTCATGCGGAAGGGGCTTTAGCTTCTTAGTGTGGTGCTTTAACCTGCTGCGCCACCAGGGAGGGCCATGTTTATTATTTTTTTAGTGGAAAAAAGCTTGACCTCTGTCATTTTAGAATTACTTGAAAGTAATATGCAAAATGGTATAGATAAATAACAGGAAATGACATTGATAACTTGTAAAATTACCTTTTTTACAGTCCTAAAAGAGAATTGAAACATAAATGATTTTTAGTCTATTTTTGTCATTTTGTAGTTTAATAGTAGAACCCATGGAAAGCTGGCTACAGTTGATGCTAAATTGGGATCCTCAGCAAAGAGGAGGACCTGTTGATGTTACTTCGAAGCAGCCAAAATGTTTTTTATTAATGGATCATATTCTGAATTTGAAGGTTAGTTCACGGGGGTCTACTTAAGTCTTCTATTGAAGTTAACAAGTCTATTCAGAGCATGAACATAAATATATTTTATAATCTTGATGCTTATTTGAAAAATAAAAGATATTCTTAGAGCTGAAATGCTAAGCTTTCTCTGTTTTAATTTGTGCTATTTGTTGTTTATTCCTTTGAAGCATTTTTTTTATTTTTCCCATCCTTACATTGCATATACTAGCTAATGTTAAGAAATTATTATACTTGTCAACAGGTAGTAATATTGTATGACTTATGGGAAGGTAGTGGAAGGATGGGATTTAAATGTCGTTTCAAAAGGCTGATTTCTAATTCTGTAGCTCTCCTTGACTACCAGAGTGAAACCCCCAACTGACTCTTAAACTCTCTTGTCCTCATCAGACTGCTTTAAGTGAGACTAAGATTTTTCTTATTTAACTTTGGGCCTTTAACCAGATCACTGCTCTCAGATTTGGTTCTCTTATCTGGAGTATGAGGATAACAATGCTTTTTGCTGTTTAAACAAAGGTCTATCTTTTCATCAGGTGATTATGTCTTGAGACAACATGAAGTGGTCAGACAGTTATGATTCATAGTTGAGCTCTAACAGTTATCAGCTGTGTGACCTCTGACAAGTTATTTAACTTCTCAGAGAGCTGGTTTCTCTCCATTGCCCAAATGATGATTACAAGTTGCAATTAACAGAATATTATGTGCATGGTTGGCATCTCTTAGGCACTTTTGTAAATGGAATTTTTTCTTCTAGATCCATGATATGCTTCTCAGAATATATGTTTTCTTTTTAAATTAGGATTTTTAGTTCTGGAATTTGTACATCCCTAGACCTTAGAAATCTTTTCCCTTATAACTAAAATCTGTTGTTTTAGAAAAGTAAACCCTGCTCTTCAGATTCCAGATTGCCATTTCATAAATATTGGAGATCTTATTTTGAAAATGATTGAAATTTGTTTCCGTCAGTGATAAAACGTTTGGCTCATGTTGAATCTTTTATGTATTCAGTGATCAATAATCATTTCTCTTTGTTCTTATTTTTACAGATAGTACACATCTTAAATATGACTTCTGCCAAGTTAATTTCCTTTCTTTTGCCACCGGATGAAAGTCTTCATTCACTACAGTCTCGCATTGAGCGTGAAACTGGAATAAATACCGTTTCTCAAGAGCTTCTTTCAGAGATGGGAATTTCTCTGGATCCTCGGAAACCAGCCTCTCAGTGTGTTCTAGATGGAGTTGTAAGAGAATTCTAATATACTTAGAGTATAAGAAATCTGCTAAAAGGGTTTACATGTCTCACACTTTTACACATATGAGGGGGATGGTTCACATTTTATAATTCTTGTTTTATCTTACTAATACTGTGTAGCATTGCTTTGCCAAGTGAATAAGATATAAATGACTTTCTCTTTGGTGTTACCACTTCTCTCTTCCTCCTCCTCCTCCATGTTTTGTACTGAAAGCCTAGAACCTTGAAATTAGACCAGAAGTCTCATAGATCCTGCCAGAGGATAGATGGATGGTAAAATATGATTGTGGTCATGATTTTTTTTTTTCATTTTTCATCAGTTTATTGGGGCATATTGCAATTAAGTGATTTTTTTCTTTTTAACTAAAATTATTCCACCATCACCATAAACCAGTTTTAAAACACTTCATCTCAGTAAGAATTCTCATGTCTGTTAACTGTTAATTTCCATTCTGCCCACTCCAGGCAACCACTAATTTACTTTATAGATTCGCCATTTCCGAACATTTCATATAAATGGAATCATACAATCTGTACCATCTGGCTTTTTGGAGTTTCATCTGTCCATAGCCTTTATCAGTACTTAATTCCTTTTGACTATGGAATAGCATTCCCATTGCATAGATATATGTTGCTTTGGGTTTTTTGGGTTATTTTTTTTTGGCATGGTGCTTGCTTTTTATTTTAACCCCTACTGCAGTTTTTATTTTTCTTTAAAGTTTCAACTCTAAGTCTGAAAGTTATGTTATTGTTGACTTCATTCATTTGCATTTAGGTGTAGGAAATCTGTTGCTTAAATACTTAAGAGAACCTAGGATTTTTAAGAACCTTTCTTTTAAATTCTTTTTCAGAGAGGTTGTGATAGCTATATGGTTTACTTGTTTGATAAAAGTAAGACTGTGTATGAAGGACCGTTTGCTTCCAGAAGTTTATCTGACTGTGTAAATTATATTGGTAAGTAGCCCATTTTTTAGCTGAGTTTTTAAATCTGACATGATACCACTTTGATTCAACACATGATTAGTGGAAATGGTTTTTTTGGTGTTTTTAGTGTGTCTCATACTTGAGGTTTCTATATGTGTTGACAAATGAGTTTGTAGTTTGAAGGTGCAAAGACGGGTTTTAAAACCTACCAGATTCCTGATTTGGAAGAAGACATATTCCTAACCATAGGGCTCTTACAGAAAGAAGAATTGCCACTATTAACTGAGCCTACTTTTTTTAGTTGCGTCTTTATTGTTTAAGAATGCTCAAATATTTATTTCATTTTATACTGTGTATTGAATTAGGCAACCTTGGTGTTCAAATATTTTTATTTACCCTGTGAGAATTTTTTTTTTCTTTTGAATAAGTTTGGTGATCACTTTCTGTCTAGTCAAAATCAAGTTCCAACTTACAAAATCAAGAAAATTGGACATAAGGGCTAAAATTACACTCTTTCCTCTCTGTATTTTGTTGTTTTTCTTCTCTTTTTAAAAATTTTTGAGAGTTTGAGTATAGTGAAATGCACAGATCCTATAGTTTGACAAATATATACATATACACATATAATTGATATCACTATCAAGGTATCGAACATTTCCTTCACCTCAGACAGTTCCTTCATGTTGCTTTCCAGTTAATCCTTCTCTAGACTTAATTTTGCCACTGTTCTGTTTTATTAATAAGAGTTTTTTAAGGAATGGCTTTAGATTAGAAAAAGTTGAGCAATGTACAGTATTCTTTTTTATGTTACTCCCCTTTCTCACACATGGTTTCCCCTGTTATTAACATCTTAACTAATAACAGTACATTTGTTACAATTAATGAGCCAGCATATTAATATTAGCCAATATCCACACTTCATTCAGTTTTCCTTGTGTTTGTTAGGTGTCCCTTTGTGTTCCCGGATTCATCCAGAATGCCACATTACTTTTAGTTGTAATGAGGCTCCTCTTGGCTGTCACAATTTCTTAGACTTTCCTTGTTGTTGATGATCTTGATAGTTTTAAGGCATTACCACTCAAATATTTTGTAATTTGTCTCTGTTTTGTAAATATTGCAGTTTATTTCTGTTATATTTTATCTGACTTTTTTCCTTTCATGATTGGACGAGAATTACAGTGTTTTCAGAGAAAGATCACAGAAATAAAGTGCCATTTTCATCATGTTATATAAAGGGTACACACTCTCAGCATGTTTATGACTTTTTTGCTGACTTTGATTCCAGCTACAGTAGTCTTGTCTACTTTCTCCAGTGTAATTTTAGTTTTTGTTTTTTTTTTAACCCTCTTCCCATACTCTCCTCTTTGGGAGGAAGTCACTGTGCAGAACCCACGCTTAAAAAGGGGGATAGCGTAGCTACTTAATTTATTTAAAGATTTATTTCTTTGTTTCTTTTCTCCCGTTTATTTATTTTTTCAGTCATTTATTATGTCAGTTTAGATTGATGGATATTTATTTTTATGCTTTAGATTATAATCCAGTACTAATGCTTGTGTTGAAATCGTTGCAGATTTAGTCATTTTTTTTTTAAATACTTCCTTATTCTAGCACTATAATATGCTCCAGATTCATCTCATGAATTTCCTGCCATCATTCTAGAATCTGCTATTTCTCCAAGGATCCCTGGCTGTTTTAAGTCGAGATAGTATTAGGAAGCCAAAGATCTGGGATCTAGACTTGCTTGTTGCTAATAGGGTGTCATTCCTCTTAAGCCCTTTCAGATTTTATTTTGTAAATGTGTTTTGAGTGGAGGGGCATAAGGTACCCCTTCCTCAGGCATTAATTTCAGAAAAACATTTGGATTATTTTTGTTTTGTTTGGGTTTTGATATTTTGGTAGGACGTCTCAGGAGGAAATCTAAGTATATAAAAATAGAAGAAAGGTTAATTGAGGCTATTAGTAATTATTATAGGAAATAAAAATTTTTTCCAGGTAGTTTTCTTAAAAAAAAAAATCTGCTTCAGATAATATGTTTTCTCACCATGAACACTAGCAGAGAAACCTGTCCCTGAAGGTTTTCACCAAAAAATAATAACAGAAAATACCCAAAAGTCTAGGGTGAACCTCTTTCATTCTTGGAGATTTCAGTAAACCGAACACCTAGCTGGCATAGTTTTAGAAAGTAGCATTCCCTTTATGTGAGTCTGGCATTGAAGAAACCACATCTCATTAAACTGCCATTTACCCTGTATGCTTTTCTGAAGCTGGATTGGTAGTCCATGAAATAAAATTCATTTTTCAGTGACAGGATCAACTGTGATAGATTTAGAACTTGAAAGATAAAAAAAAATTGGATTAGTGGAAGAGAAATAGTATTCCAGTTTAGAGAGAAGGGATTACGTGTTCACATTTATTTCCCTTTGTAGCTGAAGCAGAGCTCATCTATTGTAGGTGCTCAGTAAATGTCTATTGACTTGCATTAAACAGTAGCAAGAGGTTATTTGTAGTATCTATGATAATATTACTTGTTTAAACAGAAAAATCACAAAGAATGATAAATGACCTTAAGATCTTCAAAAGTAACACCTGCTCTTTTCCTTTTTCCTGTCTCCTTCCATGTAGTACAGGACAGCAAAATACAGCTTCCAATTATACAGCTACGTAAAGTATGGGCCGAAGCAGTGCACTATGTGTCGGGGCTGAAAGAAGACTACAGCAGGCTCTTTCAGGGGCAGAGAGCAGCCATGTGAGTGGGTTCTGTTGTTTAGAGGCGCAATGTCATGTGTGTTCATAGTGAGGAGCTGATCTCACCCATTTTCATTTAGCACCGTTACATGCAATAGTAGGATATTGGACTGAATTGAAATGTAATATTGTCAGATATGTACATTTCTCACAAATAGTCTGAAACCATCCGGTTGCAATAACTTGAGAGTAGTTCCTAGTGCAGGAGATTGTTTTATTATAGACTATCACAGGAAGGAACAGAGAGACCAGATTCAAGCGATCACCTATTTCTTATTATTTCTAATAGACATTTGGGCTTTGGTGTATCGCAACTGAGGTTTTTAAATTTTGTCTGATGTTTCTGAAATTTTTTTTTTCTCCCTGTGATTTAGGCTAAGTCTTCTTAGATATAATGCTAACTTGACAAAAATGAAGAACATGTTGATTTCAGCATCTCAGCAACTGAAAGCTAAATTGGAATTTTTTCATAAAAGCATTCAGCTTGACTTGGAAAGATATAGTGAGCAAATGACTTATGGAATATGTAAGTGTTTGGGCAATGTATTTGAAAGAAACATATAGTCTTTTGAAACCATTACTGTGTTGCCTTCATTACTCATGGGCAGTTGTTTCATTTATAGTTTTACTAGAACAAGAGACAGGGCAATTCATTATAAACCATGTTTGTTTTGTAGATTTTTGTTTCTAACCCTTAGTTGAGCAGCTGTACATTCTTATTTTTCACAGTTGGATTAAAATTGTTTACCTCCAGAAAAATACAGTAATTATTTAAGAATCTGTGACCTTTTAAATCTTCATTTTAAAAGTTATAAAGTATACACTGAAGTATCTTTTAGCCAGGGAAGTCTTAAGCTAGTTTTCATATTGTAAATAGTATTAGGGTTATTCCTCCCGGTCCAAACACCTTTTATTACGGAGTTGCAGTGTTTTTTATTGTACAGTCTTCAATTTTTCAGTATTTGACATCAGCTTTTCTCCCTTCAGATATACTAAAAAATGTAAAAAGCAGAGTCAAATTTAAATAATAAATTGAAGGGATCATCACTAGTATTTGTGTTTCTTTCACTTTTTCCTTTCAAATGTCATCAACTTGTCACTTGTTTACACTCTGGGTATATCTTTGTATCTTCACATGTGCTTCACTTGCCCAAGACTCTTGTGCCCTGTCCTGTTCCCTCCTTCCTGTATCCCCCTTCTCTCACCCCGTCTTCCCTCTGACAACCAGTGTATTTTCCATAGCTGAGAAGTATCTTTGCTGTGCTTTGCCAGTTTGTGCTTTAGTTATTTAAATTCCACAAATAAGTGAAGCTGTTTGGCATCTGGACTCTCTGTCTTATTGATACATGGATTTTATTTTCTGTCTTTTTGTGTTTTGTTTTTTTTTAAGTTTTGTTTTTTGATTGTTTCGTTTTCACTTGTTTCTCTCTGCATTTTTACTTGGATGGTTTCCCCTAGTGTTCCTTTCTGTTTCTTCATATATTCTGTGTCTCAGGTCTAAATTTTTGCTTTGTGCTTACTATGAGGATTATGTCAGATTGTCCAAGAAAGTCTTTTTTGAACTGGTATGGATTCACTGTCACTCTGCTGGTTCTTATCTGATCTTCCTCCCCAGTAGTGCTTTGTTGTCTCATATTACTCATTTATACTTCTGATTCTATGTTCTTCTTGTCACTGTTAAAGGTTTTGTGTTTTTTCTTCTACAACAACTTATTTTAAGATTTCTTGTACGGCAGGTCTATAGTAGTCGACATCATTATATTTTATTTGCCTGGGAAAGCCTTTCCTTCACTTTCATATTTCAATGATAATTTTTCTGGTTACAGTTTTTTTTTTTTAAAGATTTATTTATTCATACAGAACTGGGGTACAGACCAGAGGCGCAGGGGCAGTGAGAGGATTCACCAGAGACAGAGTGGGGAGCAGAACAGGCAGATTGACAAAGTACACTGCTGAGGGGAGCAGTGGGCGGGTCAGGAGAGGTCTGCCGCGCCATGTGGGTCACCTCCCCAGCCAGGGATTGAACCTGCACTGGAGCAGCTGCTGCCAGCGTGCAGTGCTGCATCCTAACCTGTTGAGTCACCAGGGAGGACCCTAGTTAGAGTACTCTTAGCTGGAAATTTTTGTATTTTAGGACAGTGAACACTTCATTCCCACTCTCTTTTAGCCTAGACAGTAACTGCTGACAAATCGGAAATGCTATATTCCTTTTTTTTTTTTAAAGATTTATTCATTTATGCATACAGAGCTGGTGTACATACAGGCCAGAGGTTGGGGACGGCAAGAGTATTCACCAGAGACAGAGTGGGAAGCAGAACAGGCAGATTGACAAGTTACACTGCTGAGGGGAACAACGGGCTGGTCAAGGGAGGTCTGCCGTGCCATGTGGATCACCTCTGGGGCCAGGGATCAAAGTTGCACTGAAGCAGCTGCAGCCAGCTTGCAGTGCTACGCTCTACCCTGTTGCGCCACCAGGGAGGGCGCACATTCCTTTTTTTTCTAGCAGTGTTTAATATTTTTTTCCTTTTGATAAATTAACAGTGTTGTGTCTTTTTTATATTTGGAAACATGACTGTTCTTCCTGTTTCCTAGATTCATGTTTATTTCTCTTCTTAGGTCTGCGAAGTTCTTATTTACTCTTTCTTTGAATAGTGATTGTTCCTTCTGTGTCTCTTCACTTTCTGGAACACTCATTGTCCTTTTTATCATAAATGGGTGCTTTCTCTGCATGTATTGATATTTATCATGATTTTAACCTTTATTTTCTTGTTGATGTGTTACATTGGTTAACCTATGTATATTGAATTGTCACTATGTCCAGAGGCTAATGACCAAAATTCAAGTATTGGCAAGGCCATAATCCCTCTGAAACCTGTGGAAAAGAATACTCTCTTGCTTCTTCCTAGCTACTGGTGTTTTGCCCGCTGTCTCTAGTTTCTTGCAGCTGCAGCACTTCAGTCTCTGCTTCCATCATCAGCTGGTGCTCCCCCATGATATGTGTGTGTCTCTGTGTTCTCCTCCTTTTGTAAGGACACTAGTTATAGTGTAGTATGAGTCCCCTACTCCAGATTGACCTCATCTTAACTTAGCTAATTGTATTTGCAATGACCCTATTTCCAGATGTCACATTTTAAGATACTGGGGTTAGAACTTCAGCTTATCTTTTTAGGGATATTTTAACCAATAACACCATTTTTGATAGTGATATGGCAAGGAAGTGGGTAGATCAATAACTGAGGTTGTGATTATTTCTGAGATAACTAAATTTAGACTTTTATTTTTAGCCTCAGAAAAAATGTTAAAAGCATGGAAGGAGATGGAAGAAAAGGCTATTCACTATGCTGAGGTAAAACCCCGAGTTCGTTCTCTGTGCCTCTGAATTTCTGGGACCTCTCTTTTTTATTTTTTTTTAAAGATTTATTTATTTATCCATACAGAACTGGAGTACAGGCCAGAGGTGCAGGGGCGGCGAAAGGCTTCACTAGAGACAGAGTGGGGAGCAGAACAGGCAGATGGACGAAGTACACTGCTGAGGGGAGCAGCGGGCGGGCCAGGAGAGGTCTGCCTCTCCATGTGGTCTCCTCCAGAGCAGGCAGGAATCAAACTCATGCGGAAGTGGCTTTAGCTTCTCAGTTTTGTGCTTTAACCCGCTGCGCCACCAGGGAGGGCCTCTGGGACCTCTCTTAAACAGTATCTCTGCTTTAGGCATGTGAGGTATTTTTCATGTCACTCCTGAAGCTCAGAAAAGTATCTAGTGGATACCTTGTACATATAGAAGGATAAAAACAAGGACTTTGGCAAAATGAGATCAAATTAAAGCCTTGCTGGGCTTCAGTTTCCATATATTATGGAAATTATATCTTTTTTGGTAGATATAATTCACGCAGATGAATTTGAAAGGAGTAACAAATGGTCATTCTTGCTGCTATTTTATCACTAGTTTAGCAAGGAGGGCTTCATAACTTGTTAATTCGGGATAGTTCCAGTATATAACTATCTTACCATAACTACCTATTGGACTCCCTTCACTCTCAAAATTATACCACTTTGAACCCTAAGTGTAGAGTGTACTCTAGATCACAGTTTCCTTCTTCATCCTGTACCTTAGCATCATTCTTAGCGCTTTCAAATTGTTGCTGTCTGTGGTACCAGTTTTCACCTGAGTGTATGGATGAGGCAGTTGGTATCCCAGTTGGAAATCTCGTCTTTGTCTTCCTGCCATACTACTTAGGGCAGTAAGGAGTAAGAAGCAACAAAAACTCTGGAGGTATAAACTCTAGGACAGTGAAACCATATCACTTGTTTTGGTGGTTACTTTTTCTGCTTTTTGCTTTTCAGGAGAGAGTAAATGCTAGTAGCTTATAGTTGTCAGAAAAGGAAGGAGGATAGGAAAAGTATGTTCTCTGGCAGATTAAGTGTCAGGGTCTAAAAGAAAAAGACTTGAACAAAATCAGTTTTCATATTAAATTCTTTTGTTCTTGTGTATTAGCAAGCCATTCCCTAAGATTTGAGTTCTTTTCTGTGTTGTGTGGTGGCAAGCCTGTCATTTCCTTTGTGTTTCTCCATATTTTAGGTGGGCGTCATTGGATACCTGGAGGATCAGATCATGTCCCTGCACACTGAAATCATGGAGCTACAGAAGAGCCCCTATGGAAGACGCCAGGGAGACACGATGGAGTCTCTGTAAGAATGTGCTCGTGTTCTTAATACTGGTATCTGCAAATTATTTTAGCAAATTGTTTCTGTGTAGATCTGGCAGATTAAGCCTGTATGTGGTTCTTTCTTTCTTTCTTTTTTAGAGCTTTTCTTTCCCTAAATTGGCATCATATTTTAAAAGGATTTTTTTTTTTTTTAACTTAGAGGAAATTTCAGGAAAATCTTTTTGGGTTGATCTTTACTATTTAAATCAAAGTATCTTCTCATATGAAGGGTAAGAATTTTTAAAGTATGCTAAAATGTAAATTACTTCCTTATCATAATTATTCTGGTCTAAGATATTGTCTATTCAGTGCTCTATTCAGTGCCTTGATGTCCTAAGTGTTTGGGTTAGAAACTTAACACTGTTTTCTGTAGTTACCATAATATTTGTCATTTAAGTGTTTCTGTTAGAAGAATTTTGTATATATGGTGGTAGATCAGAGCATATGTGAAGTATATTAAGCTTTACATTTTAAGATCTTATTACTCAGTAAAATATTCGTTGGCTATATGTATTTGCTTTAAAAAGTGATAATTATCCTGTTCAAATGTTGTTGGTTAAGTGGATTATTAGGGAATTAAATTATGTGTACACACAGAAATATGCCTTCTCTTTTGCAGAGAACAGCGTGCCATTGATCTGTATAAGCAGTTAAAGCACAGACCTCCAGGTGAGACACTTATCACAGTAAGCATAGGCTTTTTTTTTTTTTTTTT